TTTTTGAAAAACTTTCTAAATGTTTTACATTGCTATGATTTCTCTTGTGTGTGTGTGTTCAATGATGAACCCTGAGCTGTGCCTTCTGGTTGAAGAATTCCACATTTCTACCTTGATAAGGTTTGTATCCTGTGTGGGTTCTCTATTGCAAACTGACTTCTCTTCCAGATGAAAGACTTTCCTTACTTGTTACATTCCAGAGATTTTTCATTTGGGTGAATTTTCTTATATGCTAGGCTGTGGCCTCCTGTGGACGGTTCTTTCCACATTTGTTGCATTCATAAGGCTTCTCTCCTGTGTTGTGCTCTCTGATGATAAATAAGGGTTGACTTCTGTGTGAAACTCTTTCCACAGCTGTTACATTCCTAAAGTTTTCCTCCTGTGTGTTCTCCGATGGACAGTAAGGTTTCCTCTGTGGCTGAATGACTTTCCACACAGGTCACATTCAAAAGGTTTCTCTCCTGTGTGTGTTCTCTGATGGTCAGTAAGGTATACCTTCCTGGTGAAAGACTTTCCACAGCTGTTACATTCATAAGGTTTCTCTCCTGTGTGCATTATCTGATGGATGTTAAGGGCTGCCTTCCACCTGAAAGACTTTCCACACTCCATACATTCATAAGGTTTCTCTCCTGTGTGCATTATCCGATGGATGTTAAGGGATGCCTTCCACCTGAAACACTTTCCACACTCCATACATTCATAAGGTTTCTCTCCTGTGTGTATTATCTGATGTGATTTAAGGATCGACTTCCGGATGAAAGACTTTCCACACCAGCTACATCCATAAGGTTTTTCTCCTGTGTGTTTTCTCTCATGGAAAGTAAGGCTGATTTTCTTGGTGAAAGACTTTCCACACCTCCTACATTCATAAGGTCTCTCTCCTGTATGTGTTGTCTGATGGATCCTAAGGTTTCCTTTCTGGGTGAAAGACTTTCTACACACATTACATTGATAAGGTTTCTCTCCTGTGTGTGTTGTCTGATGGATTTTAATTTGTGCCTTGTGGGTGAAAGACTTTCCACATTTATTACATTTGTATGGTTTCTCTCCTGTGTGTGTTGTCTGATGGACCTTAAGGGTTTTCTTCTGGGTGAAAGACTTCCCACATTTGTTACATTCATAAGGTTTCTCTCCTGTGTGTATTCTCTGATGGACAGTAAGGTATGCCTTCAGGTGAAAAGATTTTCCACACTTGTTACATTCATACAGTGTCTTTCTTGTGTGAATTTTCTGATGAAAAGTAAGGTTTGCCTTCCGGATGAAAGACTTTCCACACACATTACATTCATAAGGTTTCTCTCTTGTGTGTGTTCTCTGATGGACAGTAAGGTGTGCCTTCCGGGTGAAAGACTTCCCACACAGGTTACATTCATAAGGCTTCTTTCCTGTGTGTGTTGTCTGATGGACAGTGAGGTGTGACTTCTGGCTGAAAGACTTTCCACACAGGTTACATTCAAAAGGTTTCTCTCCTGTGTGAGTTCTCTGGTGCAAAATAAGGTTTGATTTCCGGATGAAAGACTTTCCACATTCCATACATTCATAAGGTTTCTGCCCTGTGTGGGTTGTCTGATGGATGGTAAGGTGTGCCTTCCAGGTAAAAAATTTTCCACATATATTACATCCATACAGTTTCTTTCCTGTGTGTGTTGTCTGATGAAAAGTAAGGTGTGATGTCTGGGCGAAAGACTTTCCACACACGTTACATTTAAAAGGTTTCTCTCCTGTGTGTATTCTCTGATGGACAGTGAGGTGTGCCTTCCGGGTGAAAGACTTTCCACACACCTTACATTCATAAGGTTTCACTCCTGTGTGTGTTGTCAGATGGACAGTAAGGTGTGCCTTCTGGGTGAAAGACTTTCCACATACGTTACATTCATAAGGTTTCTCTCCTGTGTGTGTTGTCTGATGGACAGTAAGGTGTGCCTTCTGGGTGAAAGACTTTCCACACAGGTTACATTCATAAGGTTTCTCTCCTGTGTGTGTTGTCTGTTGGACAGTAAGATGTGCCTTCTGGGTAAAAGGCTGTCCATGTTGGTTATATTCAAAAACTACAGGAGACACACCAGGAGTATAGGCAGCACATATCAAATCAGGTTCACCATAGAGAAGCATGTTCTGACATCGCATAAACTCCTTTGTTCTCATCCCCAAGGAGTTCCCATTATTTCTAATCAGCTCCGACTTAGGTTTTGATCTTAAATTAAAAGTTGTTAATAATCTTACTTTTTCCTCTCCTGTGTTACTATTCATGACTGCTACTTCAGACAGATATTCATAGGGACTTTCCTGACAGGTCTTAATCCTGTACTCCATTTCTTGGACATCTAAAATGAGATATAGAAAGACAGATAAAAACATAAATGAGACCGCAAGATTCCTTAATGTCAAAGTAAAGATATTTTCTCCCACCTTAACTGTTACAAGATTTTAAACTTTCAAAGCAGGAACTGTTTGATGCAGAATATATGCTTTTCTCCATAATGTATTAACAAAGTAGTACTGACATTTTACAATGGTAAATAATATTTTTCTGTTTCAGACTTTTTGTGTTTTTCTCAGGGAATTACTCAAATGATTCAACTACACATCTGCCTTTATTACCCTTGGGGTTTGGTCATAAGGGAATACCTGTTATTTTTATTTTAATTTATGAAAATATTTTATATATTTTCTGGTTTGCTCTCAACCATTATGTGAGGAACAGAAATACTGACTAGATTTAGAGACCATTTGGGTGTTTTATACATCCGTTTGCCTTTCCACTAAGCATAGAAGGTTCCTGAGAGTAAGGATTTATACCTCTATATGTTCAGTTCTAACTTCTAAGAATTACTTTAGGGATTGGTGGCAGTTTTTAACTTTGTTTCTCTCCATCTTAGTCAAATTCTCATCAAATTTCCTTTTCTGACACTCCTAATCCTTCACAACCATTAAAGACCAAAGATACTGCAGCTCACCACCCAGGTAGTCATCCCCTATGAACCAAAAGCTTTGCTTCTGAATCTCACTCACTTCCACCATCACCAAGAAGCAATTTTCCTCTTCACAGGATAGCAGTCCTGGCATACTCCTTATTTCCTCATACCTGCATAGGCCTTGTTTCAATGAAAATGAGACCTCATTTTCTACATTTCTCATTTCCTTTTTCTGTTTAAGAATGATTTCTACAAAGAAAAAGAAAATTGCTCACATAACCATACTGGGACAAGCAAATCAGTTTGTCTAAATGTAAATTCTTGACTGTCATGTCCTTAAGACAAAGGATCACCTAGTTCTCTGCCACACATGACTCAGGAAACTAGGAACATTATTGCTCAGTACAGCTCATTAAACTTACCAAGTGGACTCTGGCTACAAAACCACCATGCAAGATGCTTTATCTCACCTGTGAGATTCTTGTCTGAGGCTTCTCTTATCCATGGTTCTGCACCTTGCTCCAGCTTGGCAATCAATTTAGGTTTAGGAACACAGTGTCCTGTTATTAACAAGTAGAGAAGAACTATTGGTAGGATGGGTCATCATTACTGTAAGGTCTTAGACATCATGTTCACAAACTTGCTCCTAAACCTTGTTTCTCATTTCTTATCCACTCCCTCGTTGATATTCCCCAGCTTTCAACTTATTTTGCCAATTGTGTGGCTTGAACTCAGCTCTTTTGCTCAAAGCTAGCATTCTGCTCATTTCAGTCCCAGCTACATTTGTAGATTGTGAGGGGATTTGGAGATAAAAGCCTCATGGTCACTTTTCTGCAGTTGCTGGCTTCAAACCAAAATCCTCACATTTCAGCCTCCAGAGAAGCTAAGATTACAGGTGTTTGCCACTGCACCCAGGATCAGGGTTGAATACAAATAACCACTTTCAACTAGTGATTTTCAGATCATACTTCAAATAGTGAAGTACTTTCTATTCTAGACTATATTTGCACCTAAAGAAATCACCGCAAGTTTAGGAAGACAGTTTTCTTTCTACTAGTGGAATGCAGTTTAGATCTTGGGTCCAAGTGCTGATTAGGTTTCTTGAAGAATGGGAATAAAGTTGTCTCCAGTTACATAATCAAGTGGAAAAAATGGACAGGAATTTTATATTCCCACGGACTGGAATCCTCTACTGAAACAACATAAATATTTATATAACTACTTAGAAAAGAAAACAGCCTTTGATCTCGCATGTTCAAATGACTTTTGCTCACCTAAGGACAAGAGGAGGCTGTAGGTCTCCAGCATTACATCTCTATGCAGGGTCCTCTGAGCATGATCCAGGTCTTGCCACTCCTCCCAGCTGAAGTCCACAGCCACATCATCAAATGACAACAGCTTCTGTAATGGCACATTTGAATCAAGTAATTAGCCCAAGTCAGGAAGGTCTGTGGGACTCATCCCCAATTAATCACCAGGAGAAAAGCAGAACTGGTGCTATGGCTCATGTGGTAGAGCACTAGCCTTGAAGCGAAGAGTGCAGGGACAGTGCTCAGGTCCAGAAACCAAACCTCACAACCAACCAATACACACACACACACACACACACACACACACACACACATACACACACTGTATCTGATAAGCAATCACAACACATTTAGGACATCACATGGAATACATAGCACATTACTGATTCATGAAAAGTAAGTGTCCACATAAATGTTAAATGCAGTAACAGTACTTAAGAAGGTAGCTAATGATGGATTTGGCCCTTATAAGATCTGCTTTACTTCCCATATATAAATATCCTATGTTAACTATTTTGTAGTTTAAGTGCTAAATACTGAAGTATGGTCATAGATATCCTGATGTTTCTTTCCTATGTAAAAAAGAACTGCTAGAAGGACGTTTTGTGAACTTGGCCTACCTTCTACAATCCACAATATAGTTGCGAGGGGCATACAATGTTCCCTGACTATATTTTCATTTAAATATGCCTTCATGGAAGGATGGAGGATGGGTAGAGGCTTAAGGAACATTCAAGATGACAAAAAACGAAAAATAGGACCACGACAAGCAAGACAGAGAAAAATTAGAAGAGGGATGTGATCTAAAAATACAGAAGACAAATTTACAAGTTGGAAGGAAATAAGAGTGCTAATTTGCCTGTAGAGGCTAAGAGGAGAGGTTTTGGACTCTCACACTGAACCCTATTACAAATGATGAATGGCCAAGCCAGCCATGCTTGGCAATACTGACTAACACACAAAAGGGAAATATATATGTGAAGAATTGAAAGAAAATAATATTCAATTCACAATCCATTGGGCAGAGGAACTCTACTAAAAATGTAGATTAAAGATATCAGGGAAACAGAATTGATTAATTACATATCTGCATTTTAAGAGTGTTACAAGAGAAGTGCTTCAAGAGAAGAGAAAAAGGAGTCCACATACATATACACATAGGACAAAGAAACTAAAAGGTAAATGTGTAGGTAAGTATAAAGGAATATATGGGTCATCTATTTCATGTAATATTTCTGTAATAGTTTGTTGAAAGAAAACTTATAACCCCATATGATTCACAATGCATGAAGATCCAATATATAAACTCATCACTTTATTAAAAGAAATGTATGTAGAATATTCATATGCATCAATAAATATTGCAATTACCAGGCTAATCAGAAGGCCTCAGTTCAACGAATTAATTGTACCAAAAAACAGGGTACTAGATTTAGGGTTGGGAATGTGGCTTACTCCAGAGTGCTAGGGTTCAATTATTCAGTGCCATGTGAACAAAAAAACTAGAAATGGGAAAAACGATTGAAGACACTTTAAAAAAAATCTACAAATAATTCCTTGAAATATACAAAGCTCAGTATCAATAGTCAGGAGAAGAATTCTAATCAAAATTCTACAGAAATAACTACTTTATATATGTTACTATGGACAGTTTTAAATAAAAATAACAAATATCCTTCCAAAGTCTAACAAAGGCTTGGAAGGATGTGAATTCAATTTGAACCTTGGTGCATGTCTGGCAGGAATGTAAAACAATCAAAGATGGTATGGACAGCCCTAAAAAGAACTAAATAGAGAATTACATAGGAATATGGTCCAGCACTCCTAGATTTGTACCCAGCAGAAGAGAAAGCAGGGACGAGAAGAAGTATTAGAGAATTACTTCAGAGCAAATACTGACAAGAACCACAAGACAAACACAGGTAAAAGAATAGATAAAGACATTGAAAAGGAAGACAAGTTTGCTACATTTTATAGCAGGGTTGATCTTTGAATACATTAAGCTAAGTAAAATACAGCAGTCATAAAAGCACAGTCATGGTATGATTTCCCTTACTGAGCTTTCAAGGATCAACAAAGTCATAGAGCCAAAAAGTAAGATGGTTCCAGAGACTGGGGTAGAGAGGAAAAGGAGCTGCCTATTAATGATTATACAGCTTCATACATGGAAAATGAAACATGCTGTACATGGATGGAAGAGATGGCTGCACAACAATGCGGCCATATGAACTATCAGTGAACTCTGAATTGAAAAAGGGTAATGTAGCCACACAGGATGGAACATACTTATACACACTGACTTTGGGAAATTCAAAAAGGATGACCAGCCAGGCTAGGTTCCATAACAATTTCAAGAGCATGCTGGACTACTTATCAAGACCTGTCTTCAAAAGGAATAGGGAATGATTTGTATTGACAAAGCTCATAAAATTCTCAAACTTTATAGACCATGACAATGACAATTTGCCTTGTGAAGTTGAAAATGTGTTTTTGACTTCAACTAAGCATCTCTGTTCCACAATACTGTGACATATGTGAAATTTATATAATCACTTTCTCTCAATTTAAACAACAAAAAAAGAAAAGTCAGAGAAGGGGTGGTTTAGGAGCAATGGGTAACAATGTTGTCTGACATCTTCTATTCACATATTGTTTTGTAGAATTGCAACTTCTTTGTATAACTACTTAAACCTAATAATAAAATAAATTGTTTGAAAGAAGGAATATGGAAAAATCAAATTTTAGACTCTCTGAATTGGATCAGAGATATAAGTGCCATGTGTGTCTATTTTTCCAGTTAAAATAACAAATTAAAATTTATGAAGAAACGTTAAGCCACATTTTAGCTGAAAACATACAACTACAAATAGCATTAATAACAAACACACATGGACCAAAAATGCAAAGTGTTCTTTTTTTTTTTAAATCGGTTGTGTGGGTTGAACTCTAGGCTTGAGCGATCTCCCTCCAGTCTTCAACTAAAGCCTAATGATCCACTGTGTCACTTCTGTTGTCCTGAGTGGTTTGTTGGAGATAAATGTATTATGGACTTTCCTGTCCAGGCTGGCTTTGAACCAGGATCCTCAGCTCTCAGCCTCCAGAGTAGCTAGGATGAAAGGTGTGGGCCAACGGAGCCTGAACAAAAATGCAAATTACTCTCATCTGTGCATCTTAATTTTAGGTTTTGTATATCTTTTCACTGACTATTTTTCAAGTGTATCTCATATTACTGAATCAGTTCTCCAGGAAGCTTCCCAAGGATATTTCTTGCTGTTCTTTTTGATGGGCTTATAATGTACTATGATTTATTTTTGTTTCTTTGTATGTTCTTCTGCCATGGCATAAACCTTGTTGTCACTGTCTTTGATTCTGGTGTCTTGCATCTTGTATATACATTTTTCTAATTGAGGAGGGGAATGGAAATAATAAAATGCTGAAATAAGAATACAGGATGGCCCATTGTAAAAATGACTTGTACAAGGAACTATGTTGAAAATGAACGACAACTTTAATAGGGTGGGAAGATTTGGGGAGGTGAGAAGTAACGTGATGGTAGGGGAAAAACAAAGGAGGGGGAAACAAATGCTCTATAAGAAATGGACTCATTACCTTGTTCATGTAACTGCAATCCCTCTGGACACTATCATATATATATATATGTCTGTGTGTTTGTGTGTGTGGAAAATGACATATCCAAGATATTTTTTACAAATGTTCAGTCAGCCAGGTGCTGGTGACTCATGCCTCTCATCCTAACTACTCCGGAGGCTAGGATCCAAGGATAATACTTCCAAATTATTTCTATTAGAAAAGCCTAGAAGACTCATATCTCCAGTTGATTATGAAAGGATATAAGACAAACAAAAAAGGTGAATGTTCTGCTATGACTTAAAGAGTAGAGGACTAGGCTTGAGCAAAAAAAAAAAAAAAGCTCCGGACAGCTCTCAAGCACTGTAGGCCAAGGACACACAAACATATCATTCAACGTATTACAAAAACACTGTCTACTCTGAGACAGATGAGGATGGTGGCTTGGAGTGAAGCCTTTGCTCTGCATGTGTGAGGCTCAAGTATTGATATTTACTGCTAGAAATACAAATATTGTAAGACAAGAATGAAGTCTTATCAATATGTAAACAATAGTGATTAATGCTTAACAATATCAACCGGAAATTTCAAAAATACATTTTGATATCATAGTTAATGATGTTACTTCATTAAAAAGGATCTGATGGATGTTCCGGGCAGATGGCGGAGGAGAAGTTGGAAGCTAAACAAGCTCTCGCATAGAAAGCAGTTGTAGTGTTTCAGTGAACAGTCCTAAGCCAGAGAATCACACCAGGTTTGCCACCACAGTACAGAGAGTTAGGTCAGAGAGGGAAAACCCAGTGAAGAGAGAGATCTCAGCACTTGCAAGCAGCCATGACTGGGGTGGTAGAGGAGGCCGTAGCCGCCATACCTGCAACAAAGGCCCCATATGTGGTGTGTGAGTCAATTCTACTCAACACCAGCAAGAACTGACAAGGAGCAGACATCTTCATCCTGAAGTTAGCAGACCAGAGAAGACTCAGGAACCAAGACTCCAGTGTGAGTAGAAGACTGAAATCCTCACTCCATCTCAGGGAGCAAAGGGAAGGCTACCTCTCCCCCCCACTACCACAGATCTCCATTTTTGATAGTGACAAAGGCCTGGCTGAGCAGCTAGCTCCAACTCAGGCCTTGGAAGAAAACAAAAGAGTCATTTAGCAGGTCACAGGAACCTAACCTGACCTGCTAGGCTCAGCTCCACCCAAGGGGAAGTCACCCAGCCAGGGCCCCAGCCCCAGCAGTGGCTTTCTTCACTGGGTAAACAGAGACAGAGGCTGCCCCTCCCTATAGCAGCCTTGACAATCAATTGAAATTCAATAAACATAAACTCCAAGAATGGCTTCAGGCTGGGCTCTGAGAGTCTCTCAGAAGCTAGCCCCTCAGGCAAAAGCTACTGTTTGCTGAAAGGCCTCAACTCTATCCAGAACCTAGCCTCTTCAC